TGCCAGCTGTTGCATCATTTTAGAAGTAAATGTTTATTTTAACCAATTACAAATGCAGCAGTGTTAGCTGCTGGATTTATGTAGTGTTGTATGGACCGACGTTCCCGGAATTTGGCCAAGTGGGGTTACAAGACAACAGTAGTATTCGTCTGCTGAGAAGTGCTGCTAGTGAATTGCTGGGGACTTCTGCCAAAGTGTTAGCTACCCCTGTACATGATTATCTGTGACCCCTGTCAGCGTGTTGCTGAAGCCCTCTGCCAGTGTGTTTCTGGAGAGTGGATGTGGGGTATTGGCACATCGTGATGATACTGTGTGTGGACTGGCCCATGTTGAGGAAGATGAACTTGCCGGTGATTACCATTGAGCATGAACGACGTGTACTTGATGGTAGTGGACTCACCGGGATTTGATGAACACTGCTGATCTAATGAGTGTCCTGGGTGAAAGCTACACAGAGTAAATATGTGTAGTTATAATTCTATTGATAATATATTGGCGAAGGTGTAATTGTTTATCCCCCCCTCCTCCTTTATTCTTTGCACTGTTACTTACTACCAACAATTCATGAGAACTTTCCCTCGACTTGGGTTAGGATCATAGAAGAAGAGGCTCAAAGACAAGTTAACAGAAAGGACCCGGTTATTGGCTCAAGCTGACCGTAAGGGGACACCAGATGAGACAAGGGACAGGAGCGACAACAACAGACAAGAGAGTGGACACCAGACAAGGGTGGGGACACCAGACAAGAGAGTGGACACCAGACAAGGGTGGGGACACCAGACAAGGGAGGGGACACCAGACAAGGGAGGGGACACCAGACAAGGGAGGGAACACCAGACAAGGGTGGGGATACCAGACAAGGGTGGGGACACCAGACAAGGGTGGGGACACCAGACAAGGGAGGGGACACCAGACAAGGGAGGGGACACCAGACAAGGGAGGGAACACCAGACAAGGGTGGGGATACCAGACAAGGGTGGGGACACCAGACAAGGGTGGGGACACCAGACAAGGGGTGGGGACACCAGACAAGGGTGGGAACACCAGACAATGGTGGGACACCAGACAATGGTGGGGACACCAGACAAGGGTGGGGACACCAGACAAGGGGTGGGGACACCAGACAAGGGAGGGGACACCAGACAAGGGTGGGGACACCAGACAATGGTGGGGACACCAGACAAGGGTGGGAACACCAGACAAGGGGTGGGGACACCAGACAAGGGAGGGGACACCAGACAAGGGTGGGGACACCAGACAAGGGTGGGGACACCAGACAAGGGTGGGGACACCAGACAAGGGTGGGAACACCAGACAAGGGAGGGGGACACCAGACACGGGAGGGGACACCAGACAAGAGTGGGGACACCAGACACGGGAAGGGACATCAGACAAGGGTGGGGACACCAGACAAGGGAGGGGACATCAGACAAGGGAGGGGACAACAGACAATGGAGGGGACACCAGACACGGGAGGGGACACCAGACAAAAGTGAGGACACCACACAAGAGGACACCACACAAGAGGACACCACACAAGAGTGAGGACACCACACAAGAGTGAGGACACCACACAAGAGTGAGGACACCACACAAGAGGACACCACACAAGAGGACACCACACAAGATGACACCACACAAGAGTGAGGACACCACACAAGAGTGAGGACACCAGACAAGAGTGAGGACACCAGACAAGAGTGAGGACACCACACAAGAGCGAGGACACCACACAAGAGCGAGGACACCACACAAGAGCGAGGACACCACACAAGAGGACACTATACACGAGTGAGGACACCACGCAAGAGGACACTACACAAGAGCGAGGACACCACACAAGAGTGAGGACACCACACAAGAGCGAGGACACCACACAAGAGTGAGGACACCACACAAGAGTGAGGACACCACACAAGAGTGAGGACACCACACAAGAGTGAGGACACCACACAAGAGTGAGGACACCACACAAGAGTGAGGACACCACACAAGAGTGAGGACACCACACAAGAGGACACCACACAAGAGTGAGGACACCAGACAAGAGTGAGGACACCACACAAGAGCGAGGACACCACACAAGAGTGAGGACACCACACAAGAGTGAGGACACCACACAAGAGTGAGGACACCACACAAGAGTGAGGACACCACACAAGAGTGAGGACACCACACAAGGGTGTGGACACCAGACAAGAGTGTGGACACCAGACAAGGGAGGGGACACCACAAGAGAGCGAGGACACCACACAAGAGTGAGAACACCACACAAGAGTGAGGACACCACACAAGAATGAGGACACCAGACAAGAGTGAGGACACCAGACAAGAGTGAGGACACCAGACAAGAGTGAGGACACCACACAAGAGTGAGGACACCACACAAGAGCGAGGACACCACACAAGAGCGAGGACACCACACAAGAGCGAGGACACCACACAAGAGCGAGGATACCACACAAGAGCGAGGACACCACACAAGAGGACATCATACAAGAGGACACTACACGAGAGAACACCACATAAGAGGACACCACACAAGAGTGAGGACACCACACAAGAGTGAGGGCACCACACAAGAGGACACCACACAAGAGTGAGGACACCACACAAGAGTGAGGACACCACACAAGAGTGAGGACACCACACAAGAGGACACCACACAAGAGGACACAACACAAGAGTGAGGACACCACACAAGAGTGAGGACACCACACAAGAGGACACCACACAAGAGGACACAACACAAGAGTGAGGGCACCACACAAGAGGACACCACACAAGAGTGAGGACACCACACAAGATAACACCACACAAGAGGACACCACACAAGAGGGCACCACACAAGAGGACACCACACAAGAGTGAGGACACCACACAAGAGGACATCATACAAGAGGACACAACACAAGAGTGAGGGCACCACACAAGAGGACACCACACAAGAGGACACCACACAAGAGGACACCACACAAGAGGACACCACACAAGAGGACACCACACAAGAGGGCACCACACAAGAGGACTCCACACAAGAGGACACCACACAAGAGTGAGGACACCACACAAAAGTGAGGACACCACACAAGAGGACACCACACAAGAGGACACCACACAAGAGGACACCACACAAGAGGACACTACACAAGAGGACACCACACAAGAGGACACCACACAAGAGTGAGGACAGTACATAAGAGGACACCATACAAGAGGACACTACACAAGAGGACACCACACAAGAGGACACAACACAAGAGTGAGGACACAACACAAGAGTGAGGACAGTACATAAGAGGACACCACACAAGAGGACACCACATAAGAGGACACCACTCAAGAGGACACCACACAAGAGGACACCACACAAGAGGACACCACACAAGAGGACACCACACAAGAGGACACCACACAAGAGCGAGGACACCACACAAGAGGACACCACACAAGAGTGAGGACACCACACAAGAGGACACCACACAAGAGGACACCACTCAAGAGGACACCACACAAGAGGACACCACACAAGAGTGAGGACACCACACGAGAGGACACCACACAAGAGGACACCACACAAGAGTGAGGACACCACACAAGAGGACACCACACAAGAGGACACCACACAAGAGGACACCACACAAGAGGACACCACACAAGAGTGAGGACACCACACGAGAGGACACCACACAAGAGGACACCACACAAGAGGACACCACACAAGAGGACACCACACAAGAGGACACCACACAAGAGGACACCACACAAGAGGACACCACACAAGAGTGAGGACACCACACGAGAGGACACCACACAAGAGGACACCACACAAGAGGACACCACACAAGAGGACACCACACAAGAGGACACCACACAAGAGGACACCACACAAGAGGACACCACACAAGAGTGAGGACACCACACGAGAGGACACCACACAAGAGGACACCACTCAAGAGGACACCACACAAGAGGACACCACACAAGAGTGAGGACACCACACGAGAGGACACCACACAAGAGGACACCACACAAGAGGACACCACACAAGAGGACACCACACAAGAGTGAGGACACCACACAAGAGGACACCACACAAGAGGACACCACACAAGAGTGAGGACACCACACGAGAGGACACCACACGAGAGGACACCACACAAGAGGACACCACTCAAGAGGACACCACACAAGAGGACACCACACAAGAGTGAGGACACCACACGAGAGGACACCACACAAGAGGACACCACTCAAGAGGACACCACACAAGAGGACACCACACAAGAGTGAGGACACTACACGAGAGGACACCACACATGGGAAATAAACAAAAACTCCCAAAAGCCATCGAGACAAAATACATAAACTGACCCAGGCAGACAATAGTAATTATATACACGTGTCTACTGGACAACAATAGTTTAGTTGGTCAGACTAATTTGTTAGCCTTCTGACAGCATTTCCACAGTTTACTTGTTCCTAAAACAAGTAAAAACCGCATCACTAATTATCGAACCACAGTGTCAGAACAGCTGTGTTACTTCTATGGCAGAATTCCAGCTCTTGGACCCCACACTCTCTCTCCAGACGCCAATGTTTCTGTCGATGACTCTTGACCCAAATGTGTAGTGTGTGTGTGTAAGGGAGGAGGAGAGGAAGGCTCTTCATATTTCCCAGGAAGGAAGGAGGAGCGAGCAGGGAGGAGAGGCAGCAGACTCCAGCCCCGCCGGCAATAAACTGTGAAACTAACAAATTTATCCGCGGGTTCCCTCTGGCTGGCGTGCACAATAATATCTTCCGGGTAATACGATACCCTCCGCCCTCGTACACAGCCTCATAAGTTAACGTGCATCCGGACAATTGTAGTTCTCATGCGAGATCTGCGCGCCAGGATGGTGTCTTCCCTCGGGCCTCTGGCCTGCTTCCTGCATGGCCCTCTGGCCTGCCTCCTGCATGGTCCTCTGGCCTGCCTCCTGCATGGTCCTCTGGCCTGCCTCCTAAATGGTCCTCTGGCCTGCCTCCTTCATGGTCCTCTGGCCTGCCTCCTGCACGACCCTCTGGCCTGCCTCCTGCATGGTCCTCTGGCCTGCCTCCCGCACGGTCCTCTGGCCTGCCTCCTGCACGGCCCTCTGACCTGCCTCCTGCACGGTCCTCTGGCCTGCCTCCTGCACGGTCCTCTGGCCTGCCTCCTGCACGGCCCTCTGGCCTGCCTCCTGCACGGCCCTCTGGCCTGCCTTCTGCATGGTCCTCTGACCTGCCTCCTGCACGGTCCTCTGGCCTGCCTCCTGCACGGTCCTCTGGCCTGCCTCCTGCACGGTCCTCTGGCCTGCCTCCTGCACGTCCCTCTGGCCTGCCTCCTGCATGGTCCTCTGGCCTGCCTCCTGCATGGTCCTCTGACCTGCCTCCTGCACGGCCCTCTGGCCTACCTCCTGCACGGCCCTCTGGCCTGCCTCCTGCACGGCCCTCTGGCCTGCCTCCTGCACGGTCCTCTGGCCTGCCTCCTGCACGGCCCTCTGGCCTGCCTCCTGCATGGTCCTCTGGCCTGCCTCCTGCATGGTCCTCTGGCCTGCCTCCTGCACGGCCCTCTGACCTGCCTCCTGCACGGCCCTCTGACCTGCCTCCTGCACGGTCCTCTGGCCTGCCTCCTGCACGGTCCTCTGGCCTGCCTCCTGCACGGCCCTCTGGCCTGCCTCCTGCACGGCCCTCTGGCCTGCCTCCTGCACGGCCCTCTGGCCTGCCTCCTGCATGGTCCTCTGGCCTGCCTCCTGCACGGCCCTCTGGCCTGCCTCCTGCACGGTCCTCTGGCCTGCCTCCTGCACGGCCCTCTGGCCTGCCTCCTGCACGGCCCTCTGGCCTGCCTCCTGCATGGTCCTCTGACCTGCCTCCTGCATGGTCCTCTGGCCTGCCTTCTGCACGGTCCTCTGGCCTGCCTCCTGCACGGCCCTCTGGCCTGCCACCTGCACGGCCCTCTGGCCTGCCTCCTGCATGGTCCTCTGGCCTGCCTCCTGCACGGCCCTCTGGCCTGCCTCCTGCACGGCCCTCTGGCCTGCCTCCTGCATGGTCCTCTGGCCTGCCTCCTGCACGGTCCTCTGGCCTGCCTCCTGCACGGTCCTCTGGCCTGCCTCCTGCACGGTCCTCTGGCCTGCCTCCTGCACGGCCCTCTGGCCTGCCTCCTGCACGACCCACTGGCCTGCCTCCTGCACGGCCCTCTGGCCTGCCTCCTGCACGACTCGCTGGCCTGCCTCCTGCACGACCTTCTGGCCTGCCTCCTGCACGACCCTCTGGCCTGCCTCCTGCACGGCCCTCTGGCCTGCCTCCTGCACGACCCTCTGGCCTGCCTCCTGCACGACCCGCTGGCCTGCCTCCTGCACGGCCCTCTGGCCTGCCTCCTGCACGACCCTCTGGCCTGCCTCCTGCACGACCCGCTGGCCTGCCTCCTGCACGGCCCTCTGGCCTGCCTCCTGCACGACCCGCTGGCCTGCCTCCTGCACGGTCCTCTGACCTGCCTCTGGAACGGCCCGCTGACCTGCCTCCTGCACGACCCTCTGTCCTGCCTCCTGCACGGCCCGCTGACCTGCCTCCCGCACGACCCTCTGGCCTGCCTCCTGCACGGCCCTCTGGCTTGCCTCCTGCACGGCCCGCTGACCTGCCTCCTGCACGGCCCTCTGGCCTGCCTCCTGCACGACCCGCTGGCCTGCCTCCTGCACGACCCTCTGGCCTGCCTCCTGCACGACCTTCTGGCCTGCCTCCTGCACGACCCGCTGGCCTGCCTCCTGCACGGCCCTCTGGCCTGCCTCCTGCACGGCCCGCTGACCTGCCTCCTGCACGGCCCTCTGGCCTGCCTCCTGCACGGCCCGCTGGCCTGCCTCCTGCACGACCCGCTGGCCTGCCTCCTGCACGGTCCTCTGGCCTGCCTCCTGCACGACCCGCTGGCCTGCCTCCTGCACTGTCCTCTGACCTGCCTCCTGCACGGCCCGCTGACCTGCCTCCTACACGACCCTCTGGCCTGCCTCCTGCACGGCCCGCTGACCTGCCTCCTGCACGGCCCGCTGGCCTGCCTCCTGCACGACCCTCTGGCCTGCCTCCTGCACGACCCGCTGGCCTGCCTCCTGCACGGCCCTCTGGCCTGCCTCCTGCACGGCCCGCTGACCTGCCTCCTGCACGGCCCGCTGACCTGCCTCCTGCACGACCCTCTGGCCTGCCTCCTGCACGGCCCGCTGACCTGCCTCCTGCACGGCCCGCTGACCTGCCTCCTGCACGGCCCGCTGACCTGCCTCCTGCACGACCTTCTGGCCTGCCTCCTGCACGACCCGCTGGCCTGCCTCCTGCACGGCCCTCTGGCCTGCCTCCTGCACGGCCCGCTGACCTGCCTCCTGCACGGCCCGCTGACCTGCCTCCTGCACGGTCCTCTGACCTGCCTCCTGCACGACCCTCTGGCCTGCCTCCTGCACGACCCGCTGGCCTGCCTCCTGCACGGCCCTCTGGCCTGCATCCTGCACGGCCCGCTGACCTGCCTCCTGCACGACCCTCCGGCCTGCCTCCTGCACGGCCCGCTGACCTGCCTCCTGCACGGCCCGCTGACCTGCCTCCTGCACGGCCCGCTGACCTGCCTCCTGCACGACCCTCTGGCCTGCCTCCTGCACGGCCCGCTGACCTGCCTCCTGCACGGCCCGCTGACCTGCCTCCTGCACGACCCTCTGGCCTGCCTCCTGCACGGCCCGCTGACCTGCCTCCTGCACGGTCCGCTGACCTGCCTCCTGCACGACCCTCTGGCCTGCCTCCTGCACGGCCTGCTGACCTGCCTCCTGCACGACCCTCTGACCTGCCTCCTGCACGACCCTCTGACCTGCCTCCTGTTTACGGGTTGGTTGTTACAGGAGAGTTTGTTCATTTCCAGTCAGCAATATGTAGCGTGATTATTGTTGGGGCTGAGCCAGGTGATGTGCGGCTCCTGGGACGCTGGCAGACGTGGGAGGGAGGGGGAGAGAGAGAGAGACAGAGAGAGAGAGGACTGGGGACTGGGAGAGTGTGGTGTCAAGATGCCCCACAGCATCACTAGCGGGTTATAACCTTCCACAAGTGACCAAGCGCCTGCTGGGACTACAATAGTTAGGTGTAGGGGGATGAGGCAGAGTCCACCCAATAATTCACCAGTTTACTGGGGAAGAAATTATAACCATGACACCGCATTATGCACAAACATATTCGCAGTTTGAACAACTGTCACAGTAGTATTAATCAAGTCGCCAGGTTTCCAGGAGGCCTGGTCGACGACCGGGCCGCGGGGACACTAAGCCCCGGAAGCACCTCAAGGTAGCCAGGTGTCACTCGGGCCCCAGCACCTAGTAACAGTGGTGCACTAATCCCCTGCTGGCTATAAGGACCTAGCTCCCCCCCTTTCTGGGGGGGCAGAAAGGGGGGGTGGTCTCGGGCAGGTCCTTAATCCTATGGTCCCTGGGATACAACCCCCGCGAAGAATCGTTTAACAACCAGGTACCCATTTTACTGTTGGGTTAAACAGAGGCTACAGTTAAGGATTTGCGCCTAGTCAATCCTTCCCGGCCAGGATACGAACCCAGGACAAAGTGCTCGCGAAACGCCAGGCGAGTGTCTTACCACTACGCCACGGGGACTGAAGACGATCCAAACGTGAAATACAATGATGATTCTGATCCATCACCTCCTATACAAGGTCCTCAGACCAGAAAATACAAAATAGTTAGAGAGCTGAAATAGAGGGAATACAGAGAACATATACGACTCGCATAGACGAGATAAAGCACCTAAATTATTGGGATCGTCTCAAAGCCCTCCAAATGTACTCACTAGAAAGAAGACGAGAGAGAGATATCAAATAATATACACCTGGAAGATACTGGAGGGTCAGGTCCCAAATCTACACAGTAAAATAACAACGTACTGGAGTGAACGATATGGAAGAAAATGTAGAATAGAACCAGTGAAGAGCAGAGGTGCCATAGGCACAATCAGAGAACACTGTATAAACATTAAAGGTCCGCGGTTGTTCAACACCCTCCCAGCGAGCATAAGAAATATTGCCGGAACAACCGTGAACATCTTCAAGAGAAACTAGATTGTTTCCTCCAAGGAGTGCCGGACCAACCAGGCTGTGATGGATATGTGGGCCTGCGGGCCGCTCCAAGCAACAGCCTGGTGGACCAAACTGTCACAAGTCAAGCCTGGCCTCGGGCCGGACTTGGGGAGTAGAAGAACTCCCAGAACCCCATCAACCAGGTATCAAGCTCAAACCGCGTGTGTTCTCCCCTCCAACACCCAGAGGCCACTGACGCTGCCTCGGCGCGCCTTGAGAATTATAACCGCCAATATCGAGTACAAAAGTTTAAACATTACAACTTGAGTATAACACAAGAATACGGAGCATGCAAGAATATAGTACACAAGAATATAGTACCCGCCTAATAATATATTACACATACATAATTATACACAATACAAAGAATACAAGAATACATACACAAAGAATACTAACCTGAGGGAGCCGGTCGGCCGAGCGGACAGCACGCTGGACTTGTGATCCTGTGGTCCTGGGTTCGATCCCAGGCCCCGGCGAGAAATAATGGGCAGAGTTTCTTACACCCTATGCCCCTGTTACCTAGCAGTAAAATAGGTACCTGGGTGTTAGTCAGCTGTCACGGGCTGCTTCCTGGGGGTGGAGGCCTGGTCGAGGACCGGGCCGCGGGGACACTAAAGCCCCGAAATCAGCTCAAGATAACCTTACCGGGTTGGTTATATTTAATATCCCTCAGGCAAGAGAGGGGGGGGGGGGAGTAATAACCGATGCCTGGCCGGCCTGCCTCACTCACTCAACTTCCTATATATATATATATATAATATATATATATATATATATATATATATATATATATATATATATATATATATATATATATATATATATATATATATATATATATATATAACAGGCCAATTACACTGGATTAATCTTTGTGTTTAGATAGGAGATGCCTCGTATGGGCCAATAAGCCTTCTGCAGCCCCTATGTTTATCCCTTATGTATCCCCCCATGTTTTTCACCTTCATTGTATTATCACCTGACCTAATGCGGGTATAAAATCAACTAGTATTGTAAGATTCTTCACTTGAGAATGAACCATGGAGGCTCGAAACGTCGTGCAAATTATACAAATAAGTGTAATACACTCTATAGTAAATCACTTCTTTTCTTCACCTTAAAAGTACGAAAATGAGTTTTGGAGAACTCCTATTCCAATTAAGCCCTGATGCTAAGAAAATAGTTAGAGGGATAGAAGCCCTAAACCAGAAAATAATAAATACAGAATATGCGGTCATATTCAATGAAACATGTTTGAAAGAAGACCTGCTGCCAGTATACACCAATATATATATATATATATATATATATATATATATATATATATATATATATATATATATATATATATATATATATATATATATATATATATATATATATATATATATATATATATATATATATATATATATATATATATATATTGGTAGCAGTCTTTCCTGTAGACATATATTATTAAATATGACCGAAAAAGTAAGATTAATAATTCTAACACGAATTTTCTCAATATTTCTTATGTTTCTTTTCACTGTCGATGGTAATTGAAAAATCATTCTCCAAAATTCATTTTTATTTCTAGTCTGACGTGACACTTGAACGCGTTTCGTAATAACTTATTACATTTTCGAAGACTTTAGTTTACACACACACAACTATAACCAGCAAACACTAAACAGAGTTTAAACAGCTTTCATTTTATACCTGCATTTGGGTGAGGTGATATGTTACAACAGTTTTGGATGAGGTGAAAACAAACTTTCAACACAAGACAGAACACGAAACAATGGGTATATATTGGGTAAGTTAAAGGGAAGAATGGAAGTAACTGCAAAGGGCCTATTCATCCATATTTCTTGATGCTTCAATATTGGTGCGGAGTCTTGAGTGGGTGGTAGAATATAGTTGTGCATTAATTGGCTGTTGATTGCTGGTGTTGAGTTCTTAATGTGTAGTGCCTCGCAGATATCAAGCCGCCTGCTATCGCTGTAGCTATCAATGATTTCCGTGTTTTTGTTAAAACTTCTCTGGGTGATGGTTGGTTGTGGGAAGAGA